CCTGGTTCTGAAGCGAGCTAGTGATGCATACGCTGAGTACCGAGTAGGACTGATACAAACATAGTCGCACGACCGGCTGAAACTTTGGTCTCACCAGCCTGTAAAAGATCCTGAGAATTACACGCATACTCATAATCCGCATATACCTAATCACGCACTTAATAATCACGCACGCATCCTGCATCCACCACAAATGCTCCCAATAGTGCTTGAATAGTGAGAAGGTTTGGGTGCCTAAGCCACTCCCAAGCAAGTGCTCGTGCACTGTTTATATTCCGAATTTGAATAGTAGCAAGTATTTTAAATAGTACCACAAATTTAAATAAGTAACCACTGAATTTGAATAGTGCTATAAATAGTAACTTGAAAATTTTAAATTCGAGTTTTTTCAGTGTAATCGACCCTATATATATATATATATTGTTTTGTGAATTTTGGTTTCAGGCCTGCACATGATGGTATTTGTTTCAGATCTAAATTTGGATTCCAAACTCTATGAGGTGCCTTTTTTTTCTGCGCGTGAGAAGTTTCTTCTTAATGCAATGCCACACAGGGGGCAGTCTCCCCCCTCCCCCCAGGTAGAATTATTTTATGCTGCAATATTTGTTAGGAGGAACGCCCGGTTTCCGGATAAATAAGCATTATTCAGTGTGTCTTGTCATCTGGTGATCTGGTGCACATTTCCAAGTTATTTTAATGGATTGAATATTGTGCTACAATTGTAGAAAGTATATATGCACCATGTAGTTGGATAGTTTATTTGCTGCTTCTCAGTTCTCACTCGATGCAGCAATAATATCAATTCCGTGATCCTTGTGCTGCACTTTGTGAAACTTTGCTTTCCTGTTGTTTTATCTGAACAGGGGACGATTTTCTTGTTGCTAGCAGTGGCGGATGCACGATGCGGAATAAGGGGAGCTAAAACAATGAAGATGTTGATTTGCATGAAGATTTAATGATGAAATCAAGCTTTTGCTACAGTGATTAGGCTTGAAATCAAGACATTAGGATTTAGGCCATTGTGGCAGGTGGCAATGTGCATCAATGACATCATAACTTGAGGTGAAAAACAGTTGTTCTTCCTAGATTACTACGCAACAAGCAAGCTTGATGTTGATCTTGCAGAGAAGGTGCTGGGTGGCAATGTGCATCAATGACATCATTACTTGAGGTGAAAAACAGTTGTTCTTCCTAGATTACTACGCAACAAGCAAGCTTGATGTTGATCTTGCAGAGAAGGTGCTGCCACTTTATTAAATTTGCTCTTCTCATACTTGTTTTCTTGGTCTTCTGTTCAAGGAACTTTTTGATTTTACCCATAAGTACTTCATAAATTATATGTAGGTTATCAATGGGATTGTGGATGGGCGCGAACAATCAGATGCGCTGACTACAAAAGCCAAATAGAAAAGCAATCAGATTTTGCTCTCCTAGGAGGGGAGGTAAGATTAAAGTTGAGCATGCAGCCCGCGGGCCAGAGGCCCGGCCCAAAGCACGGCGATTTGGCCCGGCCCGAGCACGGCACGGCCCGTTCCCCAACCGTGCCCGTGCCGGCCCGAAGCACGTAGCAGGCCGTGCTTGGGCCGAAGCCTCGGCCCGTCAGGCGGCACGGCCCGACACGGAAAATGGTCAAAGGCCCGGTAGCGGCCCGTGACCAACAAGGCCTGCTAAGAGATGACGTTTCCTTGGCCTGCTAAGAGCCCACGATGGAACCCTAACTAACTTCCCACCCGGCCACCCCGCTCCCACCCCGCCGCACTTCCTTCTCACCATCGTGGCATCGCACGTCGCACGGCGCGGGCGCGCCTCCCTCTCGCGAGAAGCCGCAAGCACGTCGGCGGTCGCCGCCACTCAGACGCGCCCTCCGGCCCTCCCCTTCGCTCGCGACGGCGGTGAAGAGCAGCGAGGCCTCCCTCTGTCGCCTCCTCCTCCGCGCGGCCACCGCGTCCGCGTCACGAGTCGGCGCCGCCTCCTCCGCGCCGCCCGCACGCGTCGGCGGCCCCGCTATTCTTCTTCCCCAGCTCCGAGCACCTTGCAGCGACGGCATCGATCGCCGGCGTCCCCTTCGCCCTTCCCGCCGGCCACCGCAGCGACAACATCGAGCACCGGCGTGCGGCGTCCCCTTCCACCTCTCTCTATTTTTTAAGGCCTAGCACGAGCCCGCTATACTATTGGGCCCGTGCTCAACGGGCTAGCACGGCCCGTAAATCGACCCACGTGCCGTGCCTGGGCCGGCGAGCAGGCACGGTGTACTGTGGAGGCACGGCCCGGCGGCACGCCGGGCCATACAGGCCCGTGCCCTATCGGGCCGTGCATAGCACAGGCCCGTGCCGTGCCGGGTCGTGCCGGCCCGTTGCTCAACTTTAGGTAAGATATTATTCTGAATTAAATTACCATGAATTAGCAATTCAACCCTGCGGTGTTATCCTTATAAATAAGTCACAGTAGCTGATCAAACGTCTTGCCCTGCCGGTACTGTCTTTGATTGCTGCATATTTATCATGTTATAATTGTTTACTCGGTTATTATGTGATTTTTTTGAAAAACTAGGTGCTAAATGTGAGGTGAAGTTCGAATTGGGGCGTCCATAATATGAGGAGAGAATTTCTTATTTGACACTGGAAAAATGAGTCGTTCCTTTCTTGGCCCTGAAAGTTTCTTCGTTCCTATTTGACACTCACTTTAACTTTCATCCCTAATTTGACACTACCGTCAAATCCGTTAGCTAACGGTGTTAACTGGCTGTTAAAAAGACGTTTTTGCCCCTGGAAAAAAAAACCGGCGAAGCAAATTTGAGAGGAAAAAAAAACTGCGCCCGCCTCTGATGCATGCGCCCAGCTACAAAAAAGACCTGCCAGCCAGCGATGCATGCATGCAACAGCGCCTCTGCATGAGTCTAGGGGCAAAAATGTCTTTTTAACAGCCAGTTAACACCGTTAGCTAACGGATTTGACGGTAGTGCCAAATTAGGGATGAAAGTTGAAGTGAGTGTCAAATAGGGAACGAAGAAAATTTTAGGGCCAAGAAAGGAACGACTCATTTTCTCAGCGTCAAATAAGGAATTCTCTCTAATATGAGCAGCTAGGCCTCCAGCAGAGGGGGGGGGGTGTCGGGGGAATAAAATGGTGGGTATTTCAATTTGGTTGGGCTCAGGACTTAGAATTGCTTTCTGTTGAAATTAACACTGATTTTTGTGGTTGGATCAATCTGATCGAGTTACATCTGGAAATTCAGTTCCTCAGCTGTTGATAAGTTGCTAAATTTAACAAATAGATTAATGAATTAATTGGTGGTGGATCATGTTTGGTAATTTGAGAATATTCTGCCCTTATCCCATCCCATCAATATCTTCCATACTTTCCATTACACAGCTGCATAATTGTTTTGTTGAAATTTTTGCAGAGTAAATAATTTTGTCGATGCACTAGCTCTGCTAATGATGTATTGTAAAATTTTAAACTCTCTTACTCTGCTCCATACACTCATTTGGAGCAACAGTTTCTGAAATGCTTGCAGGGAAATAAATTACTAAGAACCTTGCAGCATGATGGCTATGATTAGTCGTCTATTTTTTTCCTTAGTCAAGAAAATCATATGTATCTTGATTAATGATTTCAGTACATATAACCCAGCAGCCACAAGGACCTGTACATGCTTCCCATTTGCCAAAGAAATTTCTGGGTCCATGTAGTGTTATGGCAGAAGCTCAAGGGTGGTTGGCATCAATGAAGGAAGCTGAAGACGCAGGGAGACTGAGAAGAGATTTTGTTCTGACTTTTTTGCATCTACCAAGACAAAAAACAAGGGGAAATCATGTGCAAAATACGTGGATCATAACCATGCTTAATATTTCATAGGATATTTTGTCCGGATCGATGTGAAGATGTGCTTGCTCCTTGGTAATTGTTTGAAGGACAATCTTGTTTAGTGTTAAATAATACTCGATTCAACCAGTGAGCTTAGTTTATTTAATCTCCTTGTACTACTAATGGATCAGAGAATTTATGGTAAAAAAGGTACTTATTTATTTATCTATTGCAGAGAAATGTTTTCGCATGTAACTTGTTTCAAGCTAGAAATATCTATGTTGAAATTGCCCTTCCAAGGTAATTGTATGACATGTCAAGATTATTCAGGGAATCGCCTCTTTCCGTTGTATTTCTATCTCCTTATTAATGAAATGACATGTAGTTCTGTGTAGTTTGAGAACAAATTCCAAACTTGTGGTTGTGACTCGGCTCACTCCAGCTCCATCGTATTGTAGTCAGTTTGGTAGAGCTTTCCTTTTAAATTCTTAAGCTTTACTTATTTATTTATCTATCGCAGAGAAATGTTTTCGCATGTAACTTGTTTCGAGCTAGAAATATCTATGTTGAAATTGCCCTTCCAAGAAAATTGTATGACATGTCAAGATTCTTCAGCCGTTGTATTTCTATCTCCTTAATGAAATGACATGTTGTTCTGTGTAGTTTGAGAACGAATTCTAGGCTTGTGGTTGGTGACTTGGCTCACTCCAGCTCCATCGTTTTATAGTCAGCTTGGTAGAGTTTTCCTTTTTAATTCTTAAGCTTTACTTATTGAAAATTCCTAAAAAATCTTTAAATCTTATAAGGTTACCTCCCTCACGCATCCACCACACACGGCCGGCGGCTCCTGCCGTGTCGCCGTCCCACCCATCTCCCACCGCCAGGGCCTCTCGCGAGCCTCCGCGCCCAGTCGCTCGCGCCGATCTCGCTGGACCAGGCGGCGGCCCTTCACCAGCGCAGATCTCGCGCGCGAGCGGTGGCTGCGGAGCTTGCTCGGGCTATGCTCGCTGGACCGGGCGGCTGCGAGGTGGAGGACTACCCCGTGATGGTTTTGGTGTTGGCCGTCGAGGTCGACGTCTCACGCCTGCGCCATCAATAAGACGGGCGCTGCTGCCATCCGAGGTGCCAATTGAGAAGGAAGATGACGAAGATGCCGGACGGCGAGCTGCACAGGGCCGTGATGAACTCTCCGAGATGGTGGCCACGGTTGTTGCTGCTGCTCAAGGTCCAAAGCCGGTCCATGCAGTTCAAGACCGGGATTCAATTGATCAGCTCGGGCCGATCCAAACTAAGTTTTGGAATTGCTTCGATGATCAAGTTATTTCCGAGGACGACGAAGATCTTTCCACGACGGAGTTTATTCATCGAGCAAAGGAAGTCGGGTTCACGGTCGACGATTTACTGCGAGCGGATAAAGCACTAGCTTCAGGTATGGATCCTTGTTCAGCAGACATCAAATTGACGCATACAATTTTATCAACAATGGTGAATCGTAAAGTCTCTGGTGGAGTTCCTTGGCAAGGGCCATTGCCGTCACCCCGTATCTCTCCTCCCAGAACTTTGGGGGATTGTTTGGCCAAGGCTTCATACCAGAATTCGCCTAGATCATCTTTGGCTAAGTTGATCGCAGGTGCAAAAATTGTTAATTCGTTGTTGCCGGAGGGGGGAAAACCGGCCAGTGTGTTGAAAAATTCAAAAGTTTTTGAAAGCATGGACAAGGAGACAGCCACGGAGTTCCCTCCGTTATTTCCTGAGTCAACTACGACTCCTCTCGTGTGTGGCAAAGGAGATATTTCGGGGGGGGGCTCAAACACGTCAAAATTAGAAAGTTCAAAAAAATTTGGAAACCCAGATTCACAGGGAACCAATCCTACTTTCTCTCCGCCCCCTGGGGCAGCGCCGTCGTCGCTTACACGCACGGTAGGGGAGGTGGAACAGAGTCATAAGGCTATCCCTGGATATCCGGATCGAATCCAAATCGGCCCAGGAAAATTCTTTCGGGCCACTAAGGGTTTGTGCGCCCTGTTTTCCCATATTGGAACCAGGCGCCGTCCTCGTGTACCCCCGCCATCTCGTGAAACAATATTTCGGCGCTCCTTTGCCAAAGTTGTTCGTGTGGGCAAGCCAATGGCGTCGCAAGGGGGAGGCAATGGAGGAGGGTTTGACGGGCGCGGTGGGGGCAGAGGTGGCGAGGGATACAATCTGGGCTTCAACCCGGGTTTTAATCCGGGATTTGGTGGACGTGGCCGTGGCTTCGGTGGTCACCAGTGAGGTCGTGCTCGCGGTTATGGATATGGAGGTGGCCGTGGCGGACGTGGAGGTTATGCCCCGTACGGGGGCTACAACGACTACGGCTATGGGTACCATGCCCCTGGACGTGGACGTCGCCCTTACGGAGGAAGGTATGCTGGCCGCGGGCATGGTTGGGGTTTTGGCGGGCAGCGTTTCCACCCGGAGACCGAGCCTGCAAACCATCCCGTCATAGCCGGCCAACACGCAGCACTGGCCATGGGGCAGGCCGGCCAGCCAGCCCAGCAGGCGCTCATCGGGGGCGCTCTTCCACAGCAAGGAGGTGTAGCGGCTTACCATGGCCACCAGCAGCCGGCATTCCATGCCGGACCAGATGCTGGTCACCAAGGGGGTGGCACAGTCGGCGCATCCTCTGCTGCACACCCGCCTCCTCTGGTGGAGGCCGGTACAGTGCATGGAGGGGGCGCTCCAGCAGCAAGTCAGCAAGCCACCGCGATGGTGGTGGATTCAGCGCCAATGAAGGCTCCAGAGCAACCCAAGGAGGTTGTCCCATCGGCTTCAGAGCCGAAAGGAAATATGTTAGAAATCCAAGAGTCGTCTGAGAAAGGGGCACAAAAAAATAAAGGCAAGCCATATTGCTATCGCTGTTGTACTAAAGGTCATACAATTCATGAGTGCACTGTTGTCCTTTGTTGTGAGATTTGTTATGGAGATCATACGACTAAATTGTGTCCGAATAGTAAAAAAACAAATACAAGTGCTATTCCTTGTGGTTACGCTGTGGAAGGCCTAGGTTTCTATTTTATTCCAGTGGTTGAAAATGCAAAAGTAAATGTTCAGGAAAAGAAAGCTGTGGTACGTGTTTTGGAAGGTTCTTTTACTGTCGATCAATTGACAGTGGAACTGGAAAAGCTACTACCTGACAAGAAACATAAATGGGAAATTGAGACAAAAGGCACTGATGCTTTTATTATTAATTGTCCCTCGACTGACCTATTGGAAACAGTGGTTAACTGGGGCCCTATGGATGCTAAGGCAATTGAAGGAAGGATTCGCTTTGAAAAAGGAACTGACAATGAGGTTTATAAACGTGAAATTGAGAAAGTATGGGTGCAGTTCAGAGGACTACCTCAAGAGTTCAAAAAGTTTCCCATTATATGGGCGGTTGGAACTATCTTGGGTGTCCCTCATGCTGTTGACACTATCTTTACTAAGAACACTGGCAGGGCAAGGATGAAAGTAGCAGTGCTAGACCCAAATCTTATCCCAGATTTTGTGGATGTGGTTATTGGGGACTATGTTTACGAGCTACAGTTTGCAGTTGAAGACGACACCCTCAATGGTGAGCCACAGCTCATTGACATGGACTCTACCAAAGAGGGTGACCCTAAGGAGGAGAATCCCAAGGAAGGAGATCCAAAAGAGAAAAATCCCAAAGGGGGAAACTCTAAGGAAAAAATGGATGTGGATGGAAAAATAGAAGATGCTGAGGCACCCGGCAATGGCAATGGTGACCTGCCACCTATGGTTGGCCAGCATAGCGGCCCCAATGGGGCGGCACAGCTGGAGGAAATAGGGGAGTCTACCATCACCCAGAGCAAGCATGTGAAGCCAAGTAAGAAACCAAGAGCTTTACTTTCTCAGTCTGGAGGGGATGCTTGGAAAGCTACTATGTTGCCACCTCAGATCGACTCTGGAAATCTGAACAATAAATTCAACAGTGGGACAGCTTCACCGGTGAGATCCAGCAAGAGGAATGCCTCAACTTTGGATCAAGATTCCACAAAGAAGGCAGCTAAGCTTAAAGCGAAGAAGAACCTGGAGTCTGCGCTTGATAAAGGTAAAATGCAGCAACCTCCTTTTATTTCACGAGATGATTCCTCTTTAGTTAACTCAACAAGTTCTTTAGGGGTTGTTTTAGGTAGCAACGACCATGATATTTTTAATTCCCTAAAATGTTTAAAAGACATAGAGCACAATAGATTGTTGGAGAATGCTAAGCTAAGGGAGGAAAACTTTGTTTTAGTAGAAGATGCTTCAACTGTTTGTTCTAATGAAGATATCGTAGATCTTGAAGCTTTGAATCTTATTTGTTCGGAAATTGCAGAAGGGCTCGGTGATGGGGGTTGTGATCCTTTGATCTTACAAACCCCCGTATCACAAAAAATGAGAGGGCGACATCGTCAGAAGAAAAATCATAAAAAAAGATAGTTCAAGATGAAAGGAATTTTCTGGAATTGTAATGGGTTTGCGGATGGTAAAAAATACAGATTTCTGTCAGACTTAACAAAGGAGAAAAGTCTAGATTTCATTGCCTTATCGGAAACTGATAGAGCTAGTTTTCCACAAAACACTCTAAATACCATTTGTGCTTGTAGAGATTTTATCTGGCACTGTATGGCTCCACGTGGTAGATCCGGTGGCATGATCCTAGGCGTCGATTTGTTGACCTTTGACATTGGGGAAATTGAGGAAGGGGATTTCTTTATTCGTTTTAAATTATGACACAAAGAAGATGATTTTAAGTTTAATCTAATATCAGTCTATGGCCCGGCACAAGCAGGTCAAAAATCGAATTTCTTGTCTGAGATGGAACGGGTATGTTCAAAGGAAACCTTACCTATTATTATAGGTGGTGACTTTAATATTATTCGTAGACCAGATGAGAAAAACAATGATAACTACAGTGATAGATGGCCATTTATGTTCAATGCAGTAATTGATACCCTGAATCTTAGAGAAATAGATCTGACAGGAAGGAAGTTCACCTAGGCTAACAATTTGCCAAACCAAACGTTTGAAAAGTTAGACAGGGTTTTAGTATGCATAGATTTTGAGTCAAAATACACTCACACCACGGTCCATACCCTCACTAGAGAAATCTCTGATCATACACCTCTGTTATTCTCTACTAATAATTCGTCCATAACTTATCAGGCTCAATTCAAATTTGAATTAGGCTGGTTGTTAAGAGACGGGTTCCGTGACATGGTTTTAGAGGTTTGGCAGAATACTCTAGCTATAGGGTCACCTATTGAGAGATGGCAAATGAAAATTAGAAGGCTTCGTTAGCATCTTAGAGGATGGGCAAAGCATGTGAGTGGTTTGTATAAGAAAGAAAAAGCAATACTTTTAAACAAATTGGACGAACTAGATAAAAAGGTAGAACATACCTTGCTAAATGATTCTGAACAAGATCTAAAACATGTCTTAAATGAACGGCTCGCCGAGTTACTTAGAGAAGAGGAACTCAAGTGGTACCAAAGGGCTAAAGTAAAACACCTTTTAGAAGGAGACGCCAACACAAAATATTATCACTTGTTAACCAATGATAGGCATAGAAAAACTCTGTATTTTCCAGCTTGATGATGGTAATAGTATTATAACTGGTGATGCTCAGCTTAAAGAGCATATTACCAGTTATTACATAAACCTGTTCGGTCCATCTGAAGATTCTCTAATTTCACTAGATGAATCTCAGACGGAGGACATACCTCAAGTTTCGGATCTGGAAAATGAGTTCTTGACCGAGCCCTTCACTCATGAGGAAGTCAGAGCGGCAATTTTCCAAATGGAACATAATAAAGCGCCTAGGCCGGATGGTTTTCCTCCGGAGTTTTATCAAGTTTTCTGGGGCTTAATTAAAGATGATTTGATGGCTCTGTTTTCTGATTTTTATCAGGGAACCTTACCTCTCAATCGTCTTAATTTCGGTAACATAATCTTGCTGCCCAAAAAGAAGGATGCAAGAGTTATTCAACAATATAGGCCTATCTGTTTGTTGAATGTCTCTTTCAAAATCTTCACAAAAGTGGCGACAAATAGATTATCTATGATTGCCCACAAACTAATAAGACCAACTCAGATGGCTTTTTTACCAGGAAGAAATATTATGGAGGGCGCAGTTATATTACACGAAACGCTTCACGAACTTCACACGAAAAAACGAAACGGTGTGATTTTTAAAATAGATTTCGAAAAAGCCTATGATAAAGTAAAATGGAGTTTTCTACAGCAAACATTAAGGATGAAGGGATTTTCACAAAAGTGGTGTGAATGGGTGCAGAGTTTTACACAAGGAGGCAATGTAAATATTAAGGTTAATGACCAACTCGGATCTTACTTCCAGACAAAAAAAGGTTTAAGGCAAGGTGAACCCATGTCACCCATACTATTTAACAAAGTGGTTGATATGTTGGCCATGCTAATTGCCAGAGCAAAGGAAGCAGGGCAGATAGAAGGGGTTATTCCCCATCTAATTCAGGATGGCTTATCCATTCTTCAGTATGCGGATGACACGGTGATCTTCATGAGCCTTGATGTTGAAAAAGCAGTTAATATGAAACTACTGCTAAGTACTTTTGAGCAACTATCTGGCCTAAAGATAAATTTCCACAAAAGCGAAGTCTTTTGTTTTGGACAAGCTAAAGATCATGAAGAGTTTTATTCGCAGCTGTTTGGATGTGCCAGTGGTAAATACCCATTTCGCTACCTAGGTTTACCTATGCATTTTAGGAAACTATATAATAAAGACTAGAAGTGTATAGAAGAGAGAATCGAGAAAAGACTTAGTGGGTGGAAAGGAAAACTACTTACAGTCGATGGTCGTTTGGTACTCATAAACTCGGTGCTATCCAGTTTACCGATGTTCATGATGTCATTTTTCGAACTACCGAAAGGAGTGGTGGAAAAAATTGATTGTTTTAGGTCTCGCTTTTACTGGCAAAATGACCAGCACAAAAGGAAATACAGGTTAGTCAAGTGGGAAGTTATGTGTCAGCCTAAGGACCAGGGAGGTCTAGGGATACATAATTTAGAGATTCAAAATAAATGTTTGCTCAGTAAGTGGTTGTTTAAGTTATTAAATGAGGATGGGTTGTGGCAAGAATTATTATGAAATAAGTACATTAAAAATAAGACTCTTGGAAGCTGTGAAAAGAAACCAACGGACTCGCATTTCTGGAAAAGCCTTATGAATATTAAAGATAACTTCATGGAGTTAGGACATTTTAATGTCAAAGATGGGACACAAACCAGATTTTGGGTTGATACTTGGCTGGGCAACAAACCTCTCAAAGATAGATTTCCTGCGTTGTTTAATATTGTAAGAAGAAAACAAGACACTATAGCTACAGTCTTGAGTTCCCCGATACTAAATATCTCATTTCAGAGACATTTGGTGGGTGCGAACTTAACAAATTGGCATCGAATTGTAGCTTCTTTACAACAGATTAACTTACTACAGGAAAGAGATGTGTTTGTATGGGATTTAAATGCCTCTGGGGCTTTTACAGTCAAGTCTATATATGCTGCATTAATTAACAATGGGGTGAGAGTGTCGCAAGATATTTGGCAAACAAAGCTGCCAATGAAAATAAAAGTTTTCATGTGGTATCTAAAAAGAGGAGTGATTCTAACCAAAGACAACTTGGCTAGGAGAAATTGGAATGGAGACAAAAGTTGTTGTTTCTGCCATGTTTCAGAGACAATTCGCGATCTCTTTTTTGATTGCTTTTATGCCAAATTTTTGTGGCGCTCTATACATATACTTTTTGGGATATCACCTCCCACAAATATAGATGATTTGTTCTATCATTGGTCTAAATTGGGAAACAAAAAGTACAATACATTGTTATTAACAGTAGCTTCCGCACTTCTTTGGGCAATCTGGATAACAAGGAATGAGGTGGTTTTTGATAAATGCAAACCAAAATCTCTTTTGCAGGTACTATTCTGAGGAACGCACTGGCTTCGTCATTGGGCAAACTTACAGCGGCATGAAGATCTTAAAGATCAAATGATCTCTGTGGCACAACACCTAGAGACGTCGGCTTTAGATTTCTTTGGATCCAATGGTTAGCTTTCACAAAGGCATGTTGGTTTTGTTTAATCAAAAACTTTTTACCTATTCCATTAGTCGTGTATGTGGTTGTAAGTTTTACTTCAGCCGAACTTTGTGCCCAGGTTTAGAGTCTGTAATAATTGGTCTGATTCTATCCTTGATAGATGAAGCTGAATATTTTATCCTTTATCTAAAAAAACAAAATATTTTTATAGCCACGTGCGTGCCGCATGTGCATTTATACTAGTATTATTACTAAAATGACTTTACAAATTACAATGTAAATTGAAATGGAAGCAGTACACTATTAGATGCCCAAGGACTAGAGCGCAAAATCTCAAAAAAAAAGAGACAATTTCTTAATTTGTGCGTGTCATCCTTCCTATATCGTTCAAATTTTATCAAATGTCTCCAAAGGGACAATGTTAGGTTGGGCACGCCAGCTTATAACCAAAGCTTTCTAGCTTGGCGCTAGCGAGGTGGCACTGACTAAGCGTTATTAGTTGGCTCCTGCAGCATCGCTCCACAATTCAATATTTTTTTTTAGGGGAAACCGGAGTTTCATATATGAATAATGACAGGATTACAATCAGCGCTTATGATGTCCTCTAAGCCCGGTGGGGTTATAAGCCACTCCGCCACCTGGTTATCTCGGGACACCATATGAGAAATCACATGAGCTACTTTATTACAAGTTCGATTACTGAAACTCAAATGAAAATCTTCGAAACTCCGGCTCAGGTCCTCAATCTGTTGCAGTAAAGGGGCAATCACCGATTTCTGCTTGGCCCGACTCATCCATAGATTGACTAAAACCTGACAATCAGTCTCCAAGTGTAGTTTCCTCACCCCCTGGTTCAGAGAATAAACGAGTCCGTCGCGGCAAGCTGGCTTCTGCCGCTAGTGCATCCAGGCAAACATCATACCATATAGTTTTCCCTCCACAGAATCTTCCATCTTGATCACGGAGAGCAATCCCGGAAGCAGCTTAACGGCACCCTGCATGGAAGGAGGCATCAACATTTGCCTTCACCCACCCAGGCGCCGGTCTTTGCCATGTCTGGTGGTGGTTCTGGGATTTCTCAGAAGACTTGATCGGATGAAGCTCCTGCCACAGATCAAAAGCGGTATCCACCGCCCATTGGGCAGCTATCTTCACCGGCGTCGTTGCTTGGCCGTGGCGCCTCTTATTTCTCCCCATCCATAGCGCCCACGAACCACAAAGGATCACTGCTGCATCCTTCGGCGCAAGCACATTTAGATCGATTAAATCACGCGCCCAGGTCTGAGGGTGCAGCATGGGGACCTTCACACCCGTCAGCAACTTTAATTACCTCTTCCCAGAAGTATTTCGCCACCGTGCAGTCCA